GATGTGTGATGTGAGGAGGGAGAAGTGGGCACAGGGTGGAAAGCCAAAACATGAAAGAGAGCATAATTTTCGTTTGGACAACAGCCAAACTCTGATTTTTGCCCCCAGTAGATTACATTGAAATCGACCATTAGAAAAGCTAAAGCGTTTAGGACAGAAGCAACCTGAAACAGACAAAAATCAGTCTTTCATTCACTTAGAACAATGGTTTGGTGTCTTTCAGCCAGGGACTGTCCTAGGTTAGTAGTGACTAAGGCACAATGTTGTTGTGACCATGTGCATTACAGAATACGTTCTGAAGACACTTTTTAAATTAAATTTTAAATTTTATTCTGAGATTGCTATAGATTCACTTGTAATTGTAGGAGGTAATATAAGAGAGATCCTCTGTGACTTTGCCTACTTTCCCCCAAGATGATAACATCTTGTAAATCTATAATACAATATCACAACCACGAAAACCCTTTTAAGGCCTTTTTTGGATTCTAATGTTTTCCTGTCTCTGCCAATAAAACCCTTGTGTCTTAGACCTTAGAACAAGTCAGGAAGAAATTCCTGGGGAGCCTCTACAATGGTGGGGATTTTCTCACACCAGAAAAGAAGAGTTTTAGAGGCACTTTATAAGCCTAAAATGTTTTCAGTCTTTCAAGTAAGTAAATAAAGGAAAAACACCAAGAAAAACAGAACAAAGCAAACCTATATTGTTATTTCTAACTGGTTTTTGACCTGCTCTCTCAAGCAGCCAATTTGCAGCTGGTTTTTAAGATAAGCTCTGATTTCACTACAATTCCAGGGTGTTAATGCTTTTTTTCCCTTTCCTTTAAGTTACACAGTCAGAATGGCCCCTGGTAAACCTTTTTCTTTAGTTTAAGGGAGTGACTCTGAAAGACACATTACCCTTAAATCAAAATCACATACCATCCCCTCCACCCCAAGCCTCAAAACAGAAAGTCCTTTAGGTCAGTGATTCTCACACTTGATCTTAGCCAAAAGGCCAAGTGATAAGTAATTTTCAACCTTGGCTTCACATTACAGACTCTGGGAGAATATATAAAAATCCTGATGCCCAGGCCATCCCCCCCCCCCCGACAGATTACTTAAGAATCCCTAGGAGTGGGACCCAGGCATCAGAATTTTTTACATCTTCCCAGGTGATTCTGGTGTGCGACCAAGGTGAAGAACCAGTGGCACATGCACTTCTGAACACTACCTGAAAGAATCATTCTTTGAAGAAACTTTCAGTCAAATTTTTGTGGACCACTGTTTTAACCGGACATTTTCTCCCCCACTTTCTCCTCCCTGCCTTCATCCTTCTTCTGTTCATCATCCCCCTACTCTCCCATCATCTCCAAAATTTCAACCTGCATTGTCATCCTGAATAAATCGCCTCTTCTCCTGACCTCAGTTTCTCGGTCTGTAAAATGAAAACTTCAAAAGATGAGGTTCTTGGTGGGGGGGGGCAGACGGTCTATGATAGGGCCTCTCTGATCAAAATCCCTGAGGTTTGGGGGTTTTGCCTTGATAATCCAATCATTGCTCTTTCAACACGGGTTCCAGACACATGATACACTCACCTTTGAGCTGCTAGAGCAGTGGTTCTCAACCTTCCTAATGCCACGGCCCTTTAATACAGTTCCGGTGGATCTGTATCCTACCCTTGTCATGTATCTAGGGTCTGAGTCCCTGGTGCTAAAGAATAGCTTTTCATGTTGTGCTCACCATCATGAGTCAGAGAACTTCCTGTACTTGCAGCTTATTCTGGGTTGGTGACCTCCCCTCTCTAATTCTGTCCCTGGCTAACTCTTTCCTTTTAGCATCAGGGAAGCACCCACCAGTCAGACTATATACTCTGTGCTCCTTTGGCAAACATTTGCAAACTCCAAAAAGGACAGAACAATCTGTAATGGCCTTGGTGGAATGTGAGTGATGATGGTAGAAAAAGACATAGGAACCATTGTGGGCATGAGTAATATTTGCACCGAGAATCCTGTTCATGTGCATGAGAAGAAATCGATGCAAATTATTATTTGTGTCAATTTTTATAGCAGTGGACCAGCATGGGCTCTTCTTAGAATAATGTTCTCTTTCAGAAGTCTAAAAAAGGTCCTCTTATTCCAGCTCCTGTTCACTCTCCCTTTCTCCCATCAGTGCCCCGTTCCTGCCAAGAAAGCAATACTACTTCCCAAAGCTAAATTTGCCACATGTGTGTTTATAGCGCATAACTTTAATCGATGTTTTATGAGATGGTTGCATCAGAGGAGCCCATAACTATCTTCTCGAGGTTCCCCATTATTTCTATTACTAAATATAAAGTTCTTCCATTTTAATTGCCACAAACGATTTTTTATTGGGTACTCCTCCTTCACCCTTAACAGTTGCGAATTGCCCCTAAAACACAATTAATGTTACTTGACTTTAAGCTGTAATGTTCCACTCTTCATTCATTCTATTCTCCTCAACCCTCGAACCACCTCAGCTCCTGGGAGAGGCTCTAGTACAGCGGTTCTCAACCTGTGGATTCCAATCCACAGGAACTGTATTAAAGGGCTGTGGCACTAGGAACGTTGAGAACCACTGCTCTAGCAGCTCAAAAGTGAGGGTATCATGTGTCTGGAACCCTTGTTGAAAGAGCAATGATTGGATTATCTGTACTATAAGACTCTTAGCTTTCCTTAGGGACCATAATCTCATTCATTTGACAAGTATTTGATGAGTACCTTGTAAATGCTAGGCACTGTTCTAGGCACTAGAGATATATACCAGTGAACAAAACAAAGTCCTTGTTTCTGTGGGGCTTATATTCTAATACTGTCATATGCTGTCAGATATTCTATCTATAAAATGTTAAGGGTATCTGTGCTGTGCTGAGTGATCTTCTGTCATTGCCTGTGTTTTGAGTCTCGATACATTTGATCAAGACTATACTTAACTCTCATTTTTGCCTCCTATCTAGTTCACTCTACAGATGGTCTGGGTTCAGTGCTTTGAAATACAGCTCTGATTACATTATTTCCCTACTTGAAAAAAAACCCCTCAAAACCTATACATCCTCACCTCTATTGCTTACCAAATAAAGTCTTTACTCCTTAGCCTGTCATTTTAAGTCCTCCATGAGCTGGCTCCCACCCATTTTTGGAAAGTTATCCTTCAGCTGTTTCCTTTTATGGACTCTGCGTTCTCTCTTACACCTTCTCAACTTGGAAACCTCTGCCTGGACTATTCCACACAAACTCTGCTTATAAAAAGCCTCCCCACCCTTTGTGGCCCAAGTTACAAACCCTCCCTAACTGGAAACTCTCTTTTCCTCCTGATTTGCACAGCACCTTTTACTTTCCCATGCTCTGTCTCTATTACACTCTGCCTTGTGTTGCAGACTACTGTCTTAATTTTTAAACCCAAACATGAGAGACTTTGGAGCAGGAAGAACACTTTAGCCTCTTCAGTTGTTTTTCTCCTTCAGAAGTTTGTCTATGAATCTAGTCTCACCTTTTAGAAAAAGATAGAAAAACCTCAGCCTCTTTCCAGTGCTGCTTTTACATGATCACATCCCTGCTTCTGTCGGTATAGGTGGGCATGCAGCTAAGATCAGAGCTCATCACTGTAAGTTAAAATCATGAAATGTCTTCCAATGTATATAACTGAACCTCTGCCATCCCATTGGTGGATTTCTTGAACTGAATTCATTGTTATTTTTACAGAGACATTCTTACCATCGCTCTCACTATGATCCTCCACCAAGCCGACAGGCTGGAGGTCTGCCCCGCTTTCCTGGGGCCAGAAGTCACCGGGGAGCTCTTATGGATTCCCAGCAAGCATCAGGGACCATTGTGCAAATTGTCATCAATAACAAACACAAGCATGGACAAGGTAAGGGACATCCTCCTTTCATGCAGTTCCACATTTCGGCTTTATCAGCCCTGGTCTTTAGAGGGCTGGAGCTAAGACAAGACTCTTTCTCTGACAAAAATCAAAGGGGAGGGGAGAGGTTTGATAGAGGGAGGGTAAAAGGCAGGACCACACCTATGGAGCATATTGCAAGGGTATAAATCAGATCTGTCAAGTGTAGAACATAAATGTCTTAACACAATAATCAAGTAAATGAGGCGAAAGCTATGTTGATTGGTTTGACATGAGCACGTCCAATTGTATAAAAAAAATCAACACACTGTACTCCACATACACATAAATGTATCCATGATCTATGTGTATATGGCTTAATAAAAAAAAAAAAGAAATCACATATTCAGACATGGCTGCTCACCTTCAAGTCTACAAAATGAGTATGGACACTTAAGGCTTCCCTAAATGCAGCCAGAAAAAACATAGTTAAGGCAGGCCCCTTTGCTTGTGAAGCAGGCTCTAGAATTTTCTCACTTGACCCCAAAGGTTGGAGGCTGTTTGGGAAATTTTCTTTTTTTTTTCTTTCTTTTTATATGTCACCCTCAGTAGAGTGCAGTGGTATCACAACTCACAGCAACCTCAAACTCTTGGGTTCAGGCGATTCTTTTGCCTCACTCTCCTGAGTAGCTTGGACTACAGGCACCCGCTACAATGCCTGGCATTTTTTTTTTTCTTTTTGGTGTAGTTGTCATTGTTGTTCTTTGAGCAGGCCCAGGCCAGGTTTGAACCCGCCAGCCCCAGTGTATGTGGCCAGCACCCTAACCACTGAGCTACAGGCACTGAGCCTGGGAAAATTTCTTGAGAATTTAACAGAATGAGAGGTTAATCATTTTCTCGTAGGCCTCCAACATTCAAAGGCACAAAGTGCCAAACACTTCTGAAATTCTTTTCTATACCTTAGAAATAGCAGTTCTAATACTTCGATGTACCCCAGATTCTCCTGGGGCTCTAGTTAAAAGTATACAGTAGACCCTCCATACTTGACCCCCTCTTATATTAACCACCCCCTTAAGTTGACATAACTTTATAGACCAGACATGCACCATGTGTACATATCAGTACAGTAGGCTTGGTTCCTTAAGTTGACCACCTCTATATGTTGACCAGTTTGTCACAGTCCCTTGGGGGTCAACTTACAGAGGTTCTACTATATATTTCTGGCCCTACACTCAGATTTTGGTTCAATGTGTAGCATAGGAGATTACCCTTAGAAATGAGTAATCCAGTGAAAAATCCAGAAACCACCTGGCTGAGCATCAGGAAAAATGATCAGGTTAACACTGACATGTAGCCCACCCAGCCAACTAACTAGCTGCAGCAGGCACCTGCGGACATCCATGGTCCCCATTTCTTTTTGCGCATAATTCTCTGGTTTCCACCCCCGCTAGTAGCAGGGATGGGGGGAGGAGAAATTCAACCAAACAATTGACTGCTTGTTACTTTTTTAGGCGTCCTGTCAACCAGCTCATCGGAGCAAGAGCTCAGCTGGTTTCTTTTTATAAAACCACAAACATGTTTTGTTTCCTTTAAAGGGAAAACAAATCAAAGGCAATTCTCTGAAGGGGTTAAAAGCAATCAATTATTAAACCAAATGATTGAATAACATGAGTGAAAAACAATCCGTTACAAAGAACTCCTACCATAAATCTCAACAAAGGTAGTCAAGCCAAAGCTAGTTGATCACATCTGTTACTAGTTAGATGTAAATTTCAGATTACAGATAAAAAAACTAAATGCTTTTGAAACTTACAGGCTTAAAAGACCATTCAAAATAAAACTTTTAATAAAAAATGGTGGTGTATTAGAAGAATTGGAAATATTTACTATCTATCTGTGTTTGATTTGAAATTTATTATTTTTATGTTCCAAAGAATTCTGATATAAGTTTTATGAAATGAGGAGGAGGAGTTAGGTAAAGATGTGGTTTGATTTTCAATCCTAAATTGCCTCCAATAGATTCCATTTGCTCTGAAAGTATTTCAAAGCTGTTTTTAAAAAGTGTGAGGAAATAGTCTTTGAAAATCCTAGATCCCATAATTTCCACAAGGCCTCTATTTTTAGGGCAGAGGCTCATCCCTTGATTTTTCTCCTTGTCCTTCAAAACCCACAGCTGGTTTACATTCATTCATTTGCCCCCATTGATTTGGATGCAGCGGTCTACTTTTGACCTTTCTACTATAGTTCACTTGAGAATCACTTGTCCCCACTTCCATATACCTTAACTCCCCAGATATATGATTCAAAATCATCTTGGGAATTTTTTGGTGGGGAGAAGGCTGGGTTTCTCTCTATAGAGTTGAGCTCACCCTGTTTCACTGCAGCATGTGGGCTCTCACCCAGTCTGGACTCTTTCCTTATTCCAAATGTTTAGGGGAGAGAAAACCTAGATAGATAGATAGATAGATAGATAGATAGATAGATCACTGGGAATCCTGTCTGCCCTGCGTGTTAGCATGGCTCACCGTTTTCCTTAGTTTGCCTGCTAATGATGGGGTCCTCCGAGATACGTCTACTTGGTTCTGTGTTACAATCAAAGAGAAGTGGTGGGACTCTACTATTTTGAACTTGAATCCAGACTAAATGTCCTTTAGGCAGACAGTGGACTCACTTGATCACATTGTTTAGAAGGGAATGTCATTGTCTGGGGAAAGGAGAGAAGAGATGTGGATGGGGAGAGAATGACCTATCTGGCCTCTTTTGTATCATCCTTTTCACAGCCCTGAGCCTCACAGTTAAGGCGTCAAGTCTCTATTCTATTGCACTGCAAAGTAAGATTGGGAGCTTCTCTGGTTTGGATTCTTGGAAATCTTTACGTGGATTGACCCATTACAGTGCCCAGTATTCTAGCAGCCCTTGCTAAGGATAGGAAAGGGCAGCCAGCAATCATCCATATTTCTTAATGTGACCCAGTGGACGTGGTGAAAAAGAAATAGCCCAATGATTCATCCTTCTGAGGCCATTGTCTTGCAGCCAAATATCTCAGTTCCTAGGAACGCCCCAAGTGGGCCTATTTCTCCCTGCCCCCGAGCCCCGCCTGAAGTGATACAACTCACCCTAGAGATGTTGTTGATTGGGATGCCGACAGGTCTTCCTGGGTGTGATGAGGTGATGGGAATAATGAGAAACACACCCAGGCCCGGTCATGGCTTGAAATCTCCAAGATGTCCCTGTACTCTTAAAAAGGAAAAGAAGTTATTCTCAGACTCCCCATTGGCAGCCGTGTACAGTTCTGATCCTGGAACCTAGCTCCATGCCTTACAGTAGAAGCTGGATATGTTTTGGGTTAATTTGCACAGAAGGACGTTCCTGTGGCTCCTTCCCTTTATAGGGCACTCAGCCTTTAGTCCAAATGTTTGGCTCTTTCTTTTTTTTTTGAGACAGAGCCTCAAGCTGTCCCCCTGGGTAGAGTGCTGTGGCATCACAGCTCACAGCATCCTCCAACTCCTGGGCTCAAGCGAGTCTCTTGCCTCCGCCTCCAAAGTAGCTGGGACTACAGGCGCCTGGATAATTTGTGAAGGGACAGCCTTATATGCCTCTAATTTTCAGGCAGTTTCCTCAGTTTCCCCTATATAGAGACTGTAGAGATTTGGCTATAACTAATCACTGTCTTTTCCATTGATGTCCTTTGGCAGATGCCTAGCTATTTTTTGGTTGCAGCGGCCATTGTTGTTTGGCGGGCCCAGGCTGGATTAGAACCCGCCAGCTCAGGTGTATGTGGCTGGTGCCTTAGCCGCTTGAGCCACAGGCGCTGAGCCATGTTTGGCTCTTTCAAAGCCCCTCAGAAAACATGGAGCCAGTGACTTCACTTCCCACTCAACAAATGTCAGACTGCCAAAGGATATCAATGGAAAAGACAGTGATTTCTCTACGGCCTCTATGTAGGGGGGGAGACTGAGGAAATTGCCTGAAGATTAGAGGCATATAAGGCTGTCCCTTCACAAATTACCCAGGAGGCATTAGTCCTTTCCTTCTCAATCTCATTCTTAGTAACTTCCTTCCCACACCAGGGAGTAAATTATCACCACTAAGTTCTACACCTATATATGTTTGTGGATGATACTCTTATAGCATTGAACATTCTGAATGGATTTGCTTCAGGATCTGGAATAGAACCAGGTGTAGTGGCTTGAGCCAGGCATGGTGGCTCACTCCTGTAATCCTAGAACTTTGGAAGGCTGAGGTGGGTGGATTGCTCGAACTCAGGAGTTCGAGACCAGTCTGAGCAAGAGGGAGACCCTGAGTCTACTAAAAATTGAAAAACTATCAGGATCTGGAAGAAACTTGCCCTTTGGGAAGAGCAATAGATTTTGCATCTAGACTCCCTGGAAAGCAAATCTCTCTAGGAAATTTTCATGCCTGGTAGCACTTCAACTTGGACCATACACATCTTTCACAGAACTGCAGCTGTTAACACTACATTTTACTAGAGATTTCTTATCAGATGGCCAGGACAGATAGAACTCTGCTTTCATGTGTTTGTTCATTTCTCCATTTTAAAAACTATTTGTGACCTGCTGACTACATATCAGACCATTGTGAGTATCCAGAGGCCTCTGCTAAAGAACCCGGGGAGCTGCTGACAGTAGAGTGTGGGCCAAGCAGTTTTGTGGCCGCAGAGACTGCTCTGTAAATGTATCTCCACGGCCATGAGAAGAACAAGGGATACTTGATATATTAAGGAGTTCAAGGCTTGGATTTTGAGCATGGGGACACACTCTAGCTCCATAACTTTCAGTTTCCATTTCTTTGTTCTCTTCCAGTGTGCGTTTCCAATGGAAAGACCTATTCCCATGGCGAGTCCTGGCACCCAAATCTCCGGGCATTTGGCATTGTAGAGTGTGTGTTGTGCACTTGTAATGTCACCAAGCAAGAGTGTAAGAAAATCCACTGCCCCAATCGATACCCATGCAAGTATCCTCAAAAAATAGATGGCAAGTGCTGCAAGGTGTGTCCAGGTAAAAAGGCGAAAGGTGCGTTGGTTGGAGGCTCTGCCTTTGGTTGACTAAAATCCTCACATAAGTCCTTCTTTAAGCATCAGAAACATAATCAGTCTATCATATAATTATAGAGATAATACTTCTAATAAAGATGAACTTTGTTCTCTCTTCTTTTGAAAGACTGAAAAGATGGTTGGTTGGAAGAAATTTACTGCTCAGAAATATACTGGGGATTTGCTTACATCTACCGATACTTCCATGAGCCCCAACTGCCAAACTTGTCTCTGCTTTCCTAAATAGTAGAAAATTTACTTTATCATGATTATTAGGAAGAATAGTAGCACCTTTCATTTACATTACAATTTAAGTCATCAAAGCACAATCACATCCATTACCCTTTGACACAGGATGAGAGTTACAGTGGAAGGAGACTGGGTGCTGGCCTAAATCTAAGTTGCTATATGACCTGAGAAATGTGCACTATCCATTCTGGGCTTCATCAGCCTTATTTGTACAATAAAGTTTGGAACATTTGATCTCTAAGCTCCCTCCTACACTAAAATCCTATAATTATAGTGTTAGTTCTCTTTTGAAGATAAGAAAACTGAAATGCATAAAGTGCCTTGCCCAGAGTTATGCAACTAACTGATAAGAAAATCGAGGCCTAGAACCTGGATCGTTTCCAGCTTATTCTCTTTTCTAGACCGATACAAAATGTTAACTGATTTAAAAAGGTAAATTATTTAAATGGTGGTTTTAGAACATGAGCTACATAAAAATACAGTCCATAGCATTGGAGTCAACACAGTATATTTATTCAGCATTTTTACATAGACCTGTAGTTCCCAAATGTATCTGCACATTGGGATCCCCAAAGAGTGTCTAGAACTACCTCTGTCTCATCCCCAAAGATTATGATTTAATTGATTTGAGGTGCACACTAGGCTTTGGAGAGTTTAGAATATCACTAGGTGATACTAATGGGCAAGAAAAGTTTGGGAAACACTACTGTAGGCCCAGGGTGTTTATGGTCCTGCTACACCAAGTGTGATTCATGGACCAGCAGCACCTAGAGCAGTGGTTCTCAACCTTCCTAATGCCATAACCCTTTAATATAGTTCCTGTGGGTCGCAACCCACAGGTTGAGAACCACTGAGAACTAGTTGAAAGTGCTGACTCTTTGGCCACCACCCCCAAACTTCTGCATCAGAGTCTGCATTTTAACAAGATCGCCAGGTGACTCTAATAGACATTAAAGTTTGAGAAATGCTAATTTGTGGTATAAACAAAATCTTTCTCAGTGTGACAACCCCATCTTCTAGAGTAAGCAGAGGGCAAGAGTGTGGATAGGAAGGACAGGAGCCATTTGATATGGAGTTGAGAAATAGGGCATTAAAATTATGAGGAAATATATTAATTATAGGTATGGAGAGAGCACATTCTAAGGGTTTGTGGCTGTTGGGGTTACACAGACATGATGACCTATTATACCTTCCAAATCTATTTCACTGGATCCCCAAATCTCTTAGTGTCACTAAGTGGCAGTTCCACTAACATAGTATTCTCTCTCTCTCTCTCTCTCTCTTTTTTTTTGAGACAGAGTCTCACTGTGTCACCCTCGATAGAGTGCTATGGTGTCACAGCTCATAGCAATCTTAAATTCTTGGGCTTAAGTGATCCTTAACCTCTCAAGTAGCTGGGACTACAGGTGCCCGCCACAATGCCCCGCTATTTGTTGTTGTTGTTGTAGTTGTCAGTGTCGCTTAGTAGGCCCAGGCCAGGTGCAAACCCACCATCCCAGGTGTATGTGGCCAGCTCCCTAACCACTTAGCTCTGGGGGCTGAGCCAACACAGTATTCTCTTTTGCCAAGGGTTTAATGCCTATATTTTTTAAAAGTAGTACAACAAGACCATTTCAGAAGAAAACTAGTAGTTCCTTAAACTATCCTTTCTAATTTGAATCTTAGACCTTCAGACCAAATCCCATTTCATCATGCTTTGCTTTTTATTGATGCTGGTGATTTAAATAAAAAGTAAAATAATCAAAAAAACTTGTGCAAGTAGGCCACACAACAGGCATTGCTTTTTAAGTAATTGCCCTATCAGGTTGGTAATGTTTATTAAAACATTTGCCTAAATAATTACCCTTCTAGAAATCCTAAGTAATCAGAAGCACTCATAAAGATATACAAACAAGAATTTTTGCTACAGTGTTGTTTATAATAGTGAAAAATTGAAAACAATCTGGAAATTCACCAATATGAGAATGGTTAAATAATTTATGGCTTGTTTGTACTGTGGGGTACTAATATAACCATTAAAAATCATTGTAGGTTAAGATTTAATGGCACAGAAAGATATTTGCAATATATTCGTTAAGTAAGAAGAGCAAATTAAAAAATGTATATGATGGCTCAGTGCTCTTGTTCAGTGGTTAGGGCACCGGCCACATACACCAGTGCTGGTGGGTTTAAACCTGGCCTGGGCCTGCTAAACAACAACAACAACAACTACAAAAATAGCTGGACATTGTGGTGGGTACCTGTAGTCCCAGCTCCTTGAGAGACTGAGGCAAGAGACTTGCTTAAACCCAAGAGTTTGAGGTTGCTGTGAGCTGTGACACCATAGCACTCTACCCAGGGCGACAGCTTGAGACTCTCAAAAAAAAATGTATATTATGATCTCACTTTTTGTGTTAAAAAAGAAAATGCTTGTATATGCTAAGACTAAAAAAAAAAAAAAAAA